GGGGGGGGGGGGGTAATCTTATGAGATTGAAGTTGTATTTCATGAAATTCCCAATGGTATCTCAACATGCTAGTGCCCCACATTTTTTTCAAGATATGAGCTGTCGCTCTGTCAATTTTCTTTGCCTTGATTTGCAAGAAATTACTCAATTAAGATGGAACCTCTTAATAGAAGGGGGGGAAGTCAAAACCGGCACACAGGTCACGCTAACCAGTTGGTTAAAAAAAGCGTCGCATCCACACAGTCACCCAAACTCCCCAAATCCTTGCTATCCCAGGTGCTCGCAAACGCTAGGCGCTAAGCTAATATGCTCCGCACTGCGCAGCTTGCAGCCTCTAAATAGCTAATCCTCGCCTCCTTGGCGCCAATTAAGTTAGCCTTTAAACACATAGTTCAATCACTAAAGACGGACGAGGAGTAGCTAAAGATGCAACACTCAAGGGGAGAGAACAAAAGATGGAGAAGCTAATGCAGGGTCCACCCTGAGTTTTGAGTCGAACCACCCAGAGTGCGTACATTTCCTGAGGGTGTGTAAGTGACACCCAGAGAACCTGCGATGCCAAAAGTGTGCAGTAGCGCGCCTTCTCTGACAACTTTAATTTCATAATATGACAACTTCTTTCTCTATAAAATATCATTTTGTGATTGTCACAACTCGACTTTATTTCCAAAATTGACAGTTATATCATTCCCATACTCCTGGTATGCTTTTTATCGATGTTTTTCTCCCCTTTTTAAGGTCACTAGTTCCAAAATGTCCGACAACTCTTGTAGAGCGCATGTCATAAGGATCATGTCATGGCATCATTAAATGCTTTAATGTAGACTCTTTCAATTGTTTTACCAAAAGAGTTATTTTGAATAGGACTGCGGAATGTCATACTGAATTCACCTTTTGGTAGCCAATCTTTTTCGGGGCCTAAACGTTCTTTTCCTCCTTTGCCGCCCTTTTCTCCTGAGCGTCGCCTGCTGCGTACGTTGCTAAGGAAATATGAGCATGTTCTCTTTTTACATCCCACCTCTGTCGAACAGTTGATTAGCGAGCTTCGAGCACCAGTAACTCAGACGGAAGCCAATTACATGGCGAGCGAAGAGTTGCCGTCTGTGGGGATTGGTCATAATTGGCCGTCAGGCTACTCTTTGCTAGTTAAATGCTTGTTTTTTTAAATGCACCCATTAGGCATTATTTAGACCGCTTGGCTATATCGATAACATATTAACGCACAAGGATCTTATTCCAGATTCCATTGAAAATGATAGAACTCTCTTCCTTTGATAGTCCTTCTTTAATTTCTCACAGGCCGCCTTACTCACAATCTCCTGCTTAGATTCTCAGCGCACGTATTTTCGAGTCAATTGTATGTCTCTTAGACATAGCGCTATTGATTGTTTGAGTCCCTCGTGGTGATGCGGGGGAACTGGTTTAACCAGAGAATCGGCAGCCTTGGCTGAAATAGTGTTCTAATTGACAGGGGTATTGTTTCCCAACCTTTATTGAGCCAAGGCACATATTTTATGTTCTCACAGCACCTCATCAAACCAAAATGTCACAAAAAGCGTCTGTCTATACTGAAATAATGCTGATCTCTTGTCTCAATTTCTTGTCAAATGTAATTGGTTAGGCTCAGCGTGCCTGAAAAAAAATTGAAGGTGTGTGGATCCTAGTGAAAATCTATGACTTTTTTTCCCCAAATTTTCACAAAAAAAAAAAAAAATTAGAAATGCCTCCAGTTAGCTGTGTTGTCGATCAATATGAAATTTTGTGGACACGTCTGTTTGAACAGGATAAAGGAAAAAGTTTCAAGGATCCTTGCTTGGCTGTGGAGCGTTAGCATGTATGTGGACTGAAAGTTAAACAGTAAAAGTCAACGTGCGTTTAAATGACATGCAACAACATGTTCATTTACATGCCCAATCCATACATGGTTCAAAATTATCGTGAATTTGCATGCAACATTAAGAGCACCCCTTAAATATTTTAGAGAAGCTTCTGCCACTTTCATCGGGCTTCTGATACTAAAGTAGACCGACAATTCGAGGTAATGTTGCTTTGGAATGCACTTTACAGGCTGTGGATCCACATTTTTGTCAGGAGAGATTCCATTATGCTGGAGAAACAGTGACTTGAAAATATAATTGTGTACGGAGGGACATAAGTTATAAACCCGATGAGAGCTACAGTGTATAGAATATATTTTATTACTCTGGAGGGCCAGGAAGTGTTCACACTCGACATTCATAGTGCACTGTGGCTCTACCCCGGAATGGCCCCTTGCTGTTTCTTCTCCCAGAAGAATATGATGATGTGTGAAAGCGCCATTTCCCTGGCTCAAGCACACAGTTGGACTGTATCTCTGTTTGGACAGCTTCAATATTTCTGCAAAAGGACAACACTTTCAGATACAGAATGGAGTGCTAATGGACTCAGCGGCACCCAACTCTCCGGATCACATGGATCTGTGTCACTCTCCCCGATAAAGTAGCCGTGTTAGTAACCGGTCACCCACTGGTTTCATGTCGATCGTAACGGGAGCAGAGCTGCGTGAGTGGCAAGCAAATATCGGAGGTGATGGAAAGCTATTTCTTTCTCATTTAAATGGAATGTACGGCTTGCTAGCATACACAGCTCTGGGAATTGAGACTTACTGTGTTCCTAATTGCAATGAGCAAACACCATCTGCACTTAAGAGTTCCTGGAAAAAAATATATGAACTCAAAGAATTCTAAACCACCGAATACAAACTAACCAAATGGCAACCTCTGCACTGTGAGGTCAACGCGCTAACCACTGGACCACCGGGCCGCCCCTTAAGTCAACCTGAACATATGGTTTTGGAATGTGGGAGGAGATTCGAATCCCGAACCTCAAAAGTGTCAGATAGACGTGCTAACCACTAGCTCACCATGCCCAATTGGCAAAATCACATTTTCATGACGATCAGCAGGTCCCAATAGGTCTCAGCAGAATGCTTAGCACCATTGGAGATTTAGTTCCACACAGACGCACAGACACCTACACACACATGATTCCAATACCACGGCAAACACCCAAACAACAATCTAGTCCCCAGGCAGGAGTGCTTTTTCCGAGCCAGCCGACAAAGACAAAGGCAGGTAGAAAGCAGGCCAGATGGATCCGGAGTGTAAAGGCAAACTGAAAGCAGGTCTTTTACAAGGTCAGAGGCAATAACCAAAAACAATCAAGGTCGCAACCGGGTACTCAGTCCTGAAACTAACACTGTAAAGTCAAGACATGACAGGAAGACGATTTTGGATGGATAACAACCTTCATGTGGGCGCTGCAGGTGTGGCTGGTTGGCTAATGAGCTCAAGTGAGGCCAGGTGGCAGAGTGGAAAATTCCACCACAGTCGGAGAGCATCCAGGATGGATTGTGACAGACGCTAAACACACTGCCAAAACGACAGGGCAGTTCATCAGGGTCAAGTCAGTTTCCAGACTTAAACTGCACATTTTTATCTTACAAAGTTGAGAGTGATCTGTCCACTGTCGTAACCACTGTCCCAGTATGGTTAATCTACTTAAGTCTCTCCGTTCCAAATACAAAAGTTATTAGTCCAGAGCAAAAATAGAGGGCATCGGCCACACTGTGCTATTACTTTATTTTGAAAAAAAACAAAACAAAAGAGTGGAACCATGTTGGAAGGTGAAATTGTTTGTTTTCTGAAGTCGCTGTCTGATGCAAATATTCTCCAGCGACCGCACAGATGGACGTGTCAGTGTGTGACGATGACGTCCATGTGGCTTTATGTTTACACCACTTGTACGTGCTCATGTTTGAATGCTCCAAGGTTGACTTCTCTCGTCTCCCTCCGCTCCAGGCGTGCTCTTTCATTACCGCGCTCCCCCCGACCGTTACGCCCTGTCCTTCGCTGACGCCAAGAGGGTGTGCGCTGAGAACTCGGCGGCCATCGCCACGCCGGGTCAGCTGCAGGCGGCCTTTGCCGACGGCTACGAGAACTGTGACGCCGGGTGGCTGTCGGACCAGACCGTACGGTGGGTCTCTTATATAATAATATATAGATGCTCCATGATCGCATCTAATGGCGTGTTTGCGTTACGTGCATTTGAGCAACGGTCCCCACTGGCAGTCATTCCAACCAGTCGGCATGACATGTGTCCGAAGTCGCCCGGGCTCATATTTTCGCATTAATTACGCTTTACTGCGGTCGTCAAGGAGACTGACTGACTGTTGTCTCGCTGGCAGGGTTTTCTTTTTTTCTTCCGCTGCCCTCCCTTTTACTCCCTTGTTTCCACTGGGGACACGGCTAATTGGTCCGCATTGAGGAGGCTCAAAGTGAACATCAGCCAAGTGTCCAATTAATAGCGAGGTTGCCATTGATTCATCAGCTGGAGGGGGCTGGGGAGGGAGACGACTCCCAAGAACGTAGTGTTTGAAAAAGTCCTGTGGTGTGTGCTCGTGTGTGCGCCGCATGTAATGTATTTTCGGCGCCCAAGCAGAATCTTTTAATCATCCCCATATGAAACAACAGTTAATGCTGGCACCCGAATATGGATAACCAAAGCACTGGAGGAATTGAGAATGCTTTTAACCTCTCACTGACTTCCCACATTCGCCTCCCTTGTGTTTGAATTTTGTTTAGAAACAATCCCCAACCGAGATGGACGTAACATTTTTCAACACTAAAGGGAACGACTTGTTTCTTGATGGCTCGAACGTGTTTGAATAGCGTGCTCGCACTTTATTACACTATTGGGAGATTTTTTTTTTTCCCCACAGGGAGATTTCATTTTCTTTCTTAGGTTAATTTCAAAATAAAATATGATTAACCCTTTCATGCACCCTCTAACCTGATAACATGATAAGCTGTCCACTGTGGTAACCGCTGTCCCTGAAAGGGTTAAAGTCGGAGGAGAAAATGAAATTAATTTATCCTGAAAGGAGACACTCATTCCGAATATTGAAATCCTCAATAGAGCAGAATAATTTGAAAAAATATGTTTCAAGTCAAACAAAATATTGATCGGCAAGTCTTGAGAGAGGCCCGGGGATCCACTGGTTAGCGTGTTGACCTCACAGTTCGGAGGTACCAGGTTCGATTCCACCTCCGGCTTTCCTGTGTGTAATTTGCATGTTCTCCTGCGTGGGTTTTCCCTGGGTACTCCGGTTTCCTCCCACATTCCAAAAACATGCATGGCAGGCTGATTGAACACTGTAAATTGTCCCTAGGTGTGAGTGTGAGCGCGGATGGTTGTTTGTCTCTGTGTGTGCCCTGCGATTGGCTGGCAACCGGTTCAGGGTGTCCCCGGCCTACTGCCCAAATCGACTGGGATAGGCTCCAGAGTTTTTGACTGGCCGAGTAAATCCCCAGACTCAAACCCTATGGAGCATACAATTTACATGCTTAAGAGTAGACTGAAGGAAATATACTCACCAAAATAAAATGAAAGCCTGGTGAAAAGTGCCAAAGTTTGGTGGTGGCAACACTCAACGACTATGAAATATTTAATCTTACTCGCTTTGTCACGTCATTCGCTGTCACTTGCCAATGCAAATATTTTCAGTTCATAGCAGGAATTGAGGAATTGACCTCACTGTCTGTTTTGTATAACCGCCTCTCGCTGCGTGCTGCAGGTATCCAATCCAGTCACCTCGGCCTGGTTGCTATGGCGATCGTGACGACTCACCCGGCATCCGTAACTATGGCAATAGGTTCCCGGACGAGCTGTTTGATGTCTACTGCTTTGCCAAGCGGCTACAAGGTAGGCGCCTGGATGAGAGACAAGTTCCTTCCTTTGGGTTTTAGTCCCCGTTGGCCCGGTCTGACTATGTGGATTATTTCGAGTGGCTCTGTTTTTTTTCAGTTGTGCACTGTGGTGGCGGCATCAACATTGTGCACACGTATGTGCCCTTGAGAGCTGCGGACTTTTTTTTTTTTTTTACTCTGGGTCATTTCTAGTCATTCTATTTACTTCTATTGTGCAGTGGCTGCAATTATCACCATTAAACTGGCGATCGCTGTGATCACCTACAAAATAAGACAATTACATGTATGCACATGTAAGCCTGTGCAGGTCGAATTTCTTAACTTTGTGGATTGTTTCAATGTTGTATTTATTTCTGTTATGCAACGTGATAGTATTAGTAATCATTATTAACTTGCAATGATCACATTTGAGTAATTTTACTGTCTAGATTTCGTGCGGTATCATCAACGAGCTGCAGATTTCTTTGACTGTATGAATTATTTCAAGTGGCTCTCTTTACTTATATTACAGTCGTTCCTTGACATACAAGTTTAATTGATTTCGTCACCACTTTCATAACTTAAAATACTCGTCCCTCACTGAAAACAATGGAAAATGACAGTCTAGTCTCCCAGGAAAAACAAGTTGGTCATGTGTTTTTTTAGGAAAATTGCAGTCGATAATATTGAACTAAATAAAACCATAAATCAATTCCGTAAATAAATGGAAAGAAATTAAATATTTTTGCTGCATTTTTTGCTTCATTACAACGGAAATTGTGCTGCTCCTTCATTATACTTTGTACTTGCCGAATTATGGGCAAAGTTATTTTTGTTGAAAATGTGTCATTCTCTTTGTTTTATGTTTAGTTTGACAGTAAACTCCAGCTATACACCACATTACAAATATGGATTATGCCTTATGAAATAGAGCCGTCACACGTTTCGAGCCCCAACCCTTTATGAATCTCTGCTATTAGAAAACTGAGCTGTCTGTTTCTCCCACCCAGGTGAAGTGTTCCACTCCACTGTGGAAGAGAAACTGAATCTAGCCACGGCCTCCACCCATTGCCATTCGCTGGGAGCCCAGCTGGCCACCGTGGGCCAGCTGTACCTGGCCTGGCAGGCCGGTCTGGACCAGTGCGACCCGGGCTGGCTGGCTGACGGCAGTGTGCGCTACCCCATCAACGTCCCGCGGAGGAACTGCGGGGGGGACGAGCCCGGCGTGCGAACGGTCTACAGCAACCCCAATCGGACCGGCTTCCCCGACACCACGGCCATGTTTGACGCTTACTGCTACCGAGGTAGTCACACAGTGTCTGTGTGATTTACCATAATTACCTTAAGCGACAGGGAAGAGGCTTGTGGCCTTGCATTGGACAAGCACCACATGCCTGTAAACAGAGTGGTTTTGTTTGTCTGCAGTAAGAACAACCAATTAATTAGTGCAGTTAAATTATTATTCTTATCCATGTTCTCAATGACACACTAAAAAAAAAGACCCTATTCAGTGGTTGGGCATTTTTTAAAACGCACTGATGGGCAAAATTTAAACAAATAAAATAAAAGATAAAATGTGGTTGTCAAATATGCAAAACTGTTAAATTTAACAATAAAATGTATTGTAATGTTTTATGTTTTCTTAATTTGATCCTAATCAAATTAATGAAATATTTGATCAAAGAAAATTAAATAATCAAATTAATTAATTATATAAAATGATGCATACTATGTTTTTTTGTTTAATTAATCGCCTTGGTTCGTTTTCTTTGCATCAGAAGTGTCTTAATATTTTTAACCCTTTCAGGGACAGCCGTTACGACAGTGGACAGCTTATCATGTTATCAGGTTACATGGTGCATGAAAGGGTTAATATTTACAATGGCAAAACGTATATCCATTTGTCATTTTGCGTAACTTTTTTGCTGTTTGCCATATAAAAAAAAAAGAACACGTTTGCATACGAATGCACCATTCTTATGAGATTGTTTTTAATTCCACAACCAAGTAAGAATGATTGACACTTTCTATTCCGAGGTGTCACATCAAAAAGCTTGTGAATAACAATTCATTTTAAGTGAAAAACAACAACAGCAGCTTGGAAAAAAGAGCCGCAGTACATTTGTCAAACACGAGCACGTAGATCATCATCTTTCCAACATGAAGGGTTGAAACAAATTATGTTCTCCAGAAAGCTGAAAGGAGATGAAAATGTCAATTTTGGCCTTAATAACCGACTGCGTTTTTACAGGCACAGGCCAAGCTATGCGGCTAACTCCCTTGTTGGCAATTTACGCTGAACAACGCTATGGAAACAGCGTGTGATACGCAAGAGGAAGGGAATTAAAATTGAGACAAGATATGAAGTCAAAGAATACAACATTTACAACCATTCAACGAACTAATAGTTATTTTTCAATTGTTACACATTCCTACAAATGACATTTTCATGTTTCCAATGAAATTTTTTCAGCCTTTTGCACTCCAAATTTCGTCAGGCTAATGTTTGTGTTACATATTCAGTCTTGCTGATTGCGTTATACCGCAGATTTAACAAAAAAATGAGATGAGGCATACCGTTCTCCGCCTCACGAACTCACTTCATACAGTATAAAATAAAAGCTATGCAATTTCCTTGAAAACCTTTCTATTCGATGATTAAAAATGTCCTCGTGTTGTTTTTTAGCCCATCAGCCTGCAGATGCGCAAGCCGCAGAGGCCCTCGCTTCCCTCCACGCCACCATCCCAGCTGCACAGGCCGGCTCTCCACTCAGCCGCACCCAAATGGGCGCCCCATTACCCAAGGCGGCAACTCGTACCGGCCTGACGGACCTGAACGAAGCTATCGCAAACGACTCCTCCGACATCTCTGACGAGCACGTTGTCATCCACTTGAGTCCCTTGCAGGGTTGGGATAACCAACAAGACGGCGCCCCGACCGGTCGATCCCGCCCAGCTGAACCCGACGAAATGAAAAGCAGCAATGCTCCAACGGAGCAGGAGAGCCACGGAGGTTCGGCCCAAGAGGAAGTAGATGCTTCGATGGACACTCTCCCATCAGCGGCCTCTACCACCTCTCAGCCTCACACCAGTAAAAGCATGCTGACTGACTTTGTTAACACGCTAATGAAGCCTTTCAAGTACTGGGCTGGTAGCGGGATGGGCCAAACCTCCAACAGGAGCCAGACTTTGAGCTTACAAGCCGGTGAAAACAAGGGCGGCAGCGACAACGCCATCACGGAGCACGGGAGTCACGATTCTCCCTCCAGGCTTCTCCATGCCAGTGGATTGCAGAGCGCTGAGGATGGTCTGTCTGAGCAGGAGAAAGAGGAGGTGCCGCTCTTTCCTGTTCTGTCTGCAGTCCAAAACGGCAGGAAAATTGAGTCCACCACGCAGCAGGAGGGCAAATTTGCCGATAGTGGTAAGAGCTTTTTTATTTATTTGCCTCTACTTTTTGTCTTTGATTGAAGTTGTTTTACTGAAATTAGGTACTGCAGATAAACTGAATTTCTTTACTTCAAGTTTGGACGAAAGACGTCAGTGCATGACTCTGTCCTACTTATGTTAATGTAGTGCCGCTTCTGTCCTGATTACTTTGCTTCACTCACTAGAAATTCAGACTCAAGTACATTTCCTAATCGTTTAAGGTACTTTTGTGCCATCTGAGTTTGTAGATAACATTAAATGCTGAAGTTTTTTTTTTTTTTTCCACACATTTTTTGGAGGTATTGATCTTTTTTGGTGACACATTTTGAATTTTCCAAAACAGTAATGCAAAACATGTTTCTTCAATCATATTTTTTTAACATTGAAAAAGAAATTTACCGATTTTTTTTTTTCTTTTCAAAGTGTGATTGTGATGCTGTAAGGCACACCTGAAAGCATTCACATTTCTCAAAGGCTGACAGTGCGCTGTGTATATGGCTCAATATTCTGATTTCTTGGACGTAGTATTTGAAATGTTCTGTAAAGTGCTTTGTTACAGCTGCAGCGGTTGTGAAAGCGCTAGTTAAAGCTGTATTGTATTGTATTCCTTTAGCATAGCTACATCTAGTGGATGCATAATGCAACCTCATCCACTATTGTAGCTTCTATTCTATGCGCCTTATAATGCGGTGCACCCTATACATGAAAACAGTTTTAAAATAGGCCAATCATTGAAGGTGCGCCTTATACTCCAAAGTGCCTTATCGTTCGGAAAAGATGGTACTAAAACACTAAACATAAATGCGGGCTATGCATGATCACTATGACTCTTTTCATGCGCTTAGTGGACAACATCAGATTTAAAGATGATAAGATGTAATGCGCAAATAAACGAGTTGAATTGAGCTTCGCAGTGGAGTCCTGAGCGTCCATCAAAGAAACACATACCCCCTTCGCGATGTTTCCAGCAACGCCACTGGGAGAACCAAATTGATGTGACAGAAGAGCTGACAGGCAGCGTAGATGCTCCTGACATGATTCACAGAGCCTTGCAATAACTTCTCCGCCTATCCTTTATTTATATATATACATTTTTGTTATGACATGTCATACCTGCAGATGGGTGGCGGTGTTGTTCACCGCACAACTCTCTTTCCCGTCTGTCTCTCAGATTGTCACCCTCCAGTTTAATATTACCTCTGCCCGACTCCGGAAGGGATTCTTGTGCCAGTGAAGCGGAGTCACTGGGGGTTTGTTTTGCAGCATTTTCCAGTTATGTTTTTTGTTTGCCACTTACACCTACAATTGATCAAAATTGTTTAACCTCGAATTCAGCAGAACCTATATGGTCCAAAGGGGATACATCACCTCAAAATTCTCTCATAAGATTAAGAATATGGATCATTTTGATTTTTCATTTTACTTATCTAAAAACAACACAAATGGATATTTCTCAAAATATTTCCCTTCTTGAAGCCTCATTCTCATATCATTTCCAGTTAAAATATAACCAATAACCATTTATCGAGAAAAACGTCACGAAGACTTTTTTTTAAGGGTTTGTATAATTTTAATATTCATTGTCCAACAAAATAAAGATGTAAAATCATATAGCAGAAAAAATGTCGCCTTAAAGTCATATTGGTGGGTCTCATGTTAAAGTAACAGTTTCATTGAATGAACGACATGGACTATTACTGGATGATTAATCCTAATTAATGTGCTGTTTTTTTTGTACATCCGTGGGCGTCGTAAAAGTATTAGCGGCAATTAGATTTGCCTGCCTCCTATGGAAACGATTCCCACGCTCGCGGACCTCGCTTAAGCGTCAGGCAACAGCGTTTGAATAATACATTTTACCTTTTAATATTTCATGCGTACAGTATTTGTGTATGTTCTCCCTCTGGTGGTAATCTGTTCTATCGACGTTTTTACACACTCGATAAGCGATGACCTCGCCGGGTCCTCTCAATAACATCACTGGCCTAAATAAACACAAAGCAGCCATGAGTCACAAATGCTGACAGGATGAATTATTGATGACCGAGACGGTGTCTACTTTAAACCCAAGAGCAGATAAGCTACTGGGGGACCTCTTGGGTCTCAATAAACTAGAACTGAGACGTTTCGCTTATCGCTTCTCTTGCCACAACTGCAAAGCGCAAGAAGTTGTTTCACGTAGACAATCCGGAAGAAAGAAACCGAGAAGTGTGAAATGACTTTGAATACATCCCCTCTGTTGTTTTTCTTTTTTTTTTTTTTTTTTTTTTTTTTTTTTTTTTTTTTTTTTTTTTTTTTGTTGTTGTTGTTGTTGTTGTTGTTGTTTTTTTTGTGGGAACAAAAGGCCCCAAATTGTACACTAAAATGTGTCCAGCGGTGCCTGCCTACTGCTTGTGGATTAGGTGAAAATATACAAGAAACATGTCTCCCGGTTGCATGCTAATGTTTTTCCTGCTCCAGCGGCAGCCACGTTTCAAGACTACAGAGAGTACTTGAGAGACGACTCAGTACATTAGAAGCTCTTTTATTACTGTGAGAAACCTGAGTCTACCCTCTTATACTGTAGTCTGAGCTTGAACGGTTGCATTTCTCATCATTAGAGGTGAGTTGTGCGCATGTTTTACTGTAAAAATTGTTTTTGTTATTTGCACTTGTGCTATTGTTCTGTTCGAGACTGAGGGAAGCGGTTTGTACAAAAAGAAGGCAGGAGGTTTGCTAGCAGTCCACACTTGTGGTCATCTTCCACACAAATAAAATCCTTGTAATATTGTACTTTATAAAAACATACAGTGATGACAAAATTAAATCGAATAAAAAGTATGAAACATTTTTTTGCATTTTTAGCATTAGGATAAACTGATATTAGGGCCTATGTATTTTGTTTTTTAAAATACACAACGTGCTCTCCTTGTTTGATGTTTACTTTGACATTAAACTTCAACTAGCAGTAAACAGTTTGAAGCTGCCGATATCATTCTGGCCCTGATTGCGGAAAGGGGCTAGGATTGGGTCAAAATCCAGGTACAGTAGTAGAGTTGCTGACACTCACGCATGTGTCTCTGCCTCCGCTTCATATTTTTGATATTGAGCATATAGTGTTTTATTGCCAAACATTTTTTGTTGTATCGACAACTACTTTTCAAGAAGAAACAGCCAGAATCAGGAAAACATGGAGGCACGGGAGTCGCTAGAGATCAGATGTGCATTTCTCTGGTCCGTTTTATGTGAGGGTCACTAATGGTGCGGAGTCAGTTGCCACTCAGTGACAATGTGAGAGCGAATGGTTGTCTCTCTCTCTCGCTATATGGACCTTGTGACTAACTGGCAGCCACTCCAAGGTGTAGTCTGCCTTTCGTCCTTAGTCAGCTGGGATAGGCTCCAGCTCCTCGCATCTCTGAACAGGATAAGCGGTATAGAATTTGGATGGTCGGTTTGATGTGATTAAAATATGCTTCAAAAGCTGTGTTTATTCCGGGGTATACAGATGTTGCTACTTTTAGCATTTTCTGGCGCATTAACAGTAAGCTCTGTTCGTTCCCCAATAGGACGTCTTGAAGGAGGAAGAGCGAGGAGTTCTCCTTGACAGTTGCTTGCCAGGAGCTGAAGCCTCTGCTTAGCCACTCGCCTGCCTCGGCCAGTGTGCCTCCCTGCTTCTGTGTGCTTTCCTCGATCTGTCTTGTGCCGCTTTTTATAACCAGGAATATCATTCTTGTCCAACATTAGAGCGATTGAGGAAAGTGGACAGGAGGAGGACAAGGCAAAAGAAGAAGATTGGCTCGCAGTTAGCAAACGTGGCAATCACGTTTCCTCCCGTAGTTATAATGATAGTCTGTGCTAGTGTGAGATGATTAAAATATACATCTCTTAAATTTGCTTCCGGGCACGAGCAATTCGCCCGCCTCAGCCAATGTGTTTTCCAGGTGCTTATTATTGACACTTTCCTCAGGCTGTCTTGTGCTGCTTTTATCACCATTTGAATTGCTGAAGTCTCTTGATCACACACCTATCGGTATCTGAAGTGTATGTACTTCCCAAAAGTTGTGGTGGCAAATGAGGTTTGATTGTTGGGCATCTGTAACAAAAACTGCTCCAGATCGCGATTGCATCGCAGTTCACACAAAAACGCTGTGCTTCCTATACTGTTCAGTGACCGTGTAAGACGGTCTTAAGGTTTAATTGCTAATTCCACATCCATGAAATTAAAGGCAGCTCACAATTACCCACCCCCTGGTAATGCAATCAAATTAAATACTCTCCCTTTGTGTTCCCTATAGGGATAACTGCAGTGGACCCTGAAAGTAATACAAGCCCCAATGAACGGGTCAAGTTTCCCAAAGGAGGTCCAGCGTGGGCCATCAAGTCATTACGGCGCTTCAGAGTAGGCTTTCCAAGGAATGTTGCCAGAAGTCACACTTGGGATCCTCTGGAAGCCAAATCGGGGCTCCTTGAGATAATCACCCTGCCTGACTCCTTTCGCCAGGACACAGTAGAAAATTATTCTGGGGAGGGGAGGGACCAAGTTGGAGATGAGGCACAAACGACCAGCGCAACTGTGACGGATCACACAAAGGAAGTGGAGGGGAGCAGTGAGGGGAATAGTTTTCTTAGTAACTTTGCTAATACCGTTCCCAGCAGTCCAGAATCCGAACCTTCACTCCACCAAAGTCAGAGTGAACTTGTGACTGTGGCCGAACTCACTACGTCGTCTCGGTGGCAGCTCGTGGCGCAACCAACCACCGCCACTTTGCCTCAAACAGCCGAGGAGGCCAGGGGTGAGATCATCTACGTTCACCGGCCTGCTGACAACCTCTCGTCTGCTTCTTCTTTATCACAAAGAGGAGAAAGCGGCTCTAATGGTGGCTTCACTCCCGTTATTAAGAAGCAAAGGAAAGGTGCGGGAAGAAAGCCTGGTCGCGGCGCAGCCAAGTTGGTCACTTCCACACCAGAGTCCTTGATGGATGTGCTAACCACCACGGAGATCACCACGGCGCATCTTCTGACAACCACAGATACTCCAAGCACAGACCCTGCAACCGCAGCGGTCACCACTGAGCTTTCCTCAAAAAGCTACTCTGCGCAGGAGCCATCCATTTCTGTCTCATGGATAGAGGAGACCACGAGCAACACGGAAGGCAACTTCTCAATGGGATCGTCAACAACAACCGCCAGTCAGTTGACGAGTGCTGTGTCAGACTCAAAAGATGCTGTTACAGAAGTGGAGTCCAGGTTAGCAGTGTCTGAGTCCTTTGTGTTTGGAAGTCATTGGATACCTTCCAAGGGATCCAGTCCGAAGTTTGAAGACTACAAGACTCCGACGGTGACAGACAGCAAAGGCGCAAAACACCCTTTTGGTGTCCTGGTACCCAACTGGGCTTTTGGCCCACCAGGTATGTTCATGCTTGTTGTCGTCATTATGCCTACGAGTGATTATAATAATCAGTCAGGATTCGTTCGATCGTCTGGAGCTCAGTGGGAGTCACATACAGTTGCTTTTCTGAGGCAACATACAAGTGTCCCGGTGGCACTTGGGTTTGCAGTTCAGTCCTGTTCTATACATCCATCCATCCATTTTTGGATCTGCTTATCCTCACAAAGGTCGCAGGGGGGTGCTCAAGCCTATCCCAGCAGTCTTCGGGAAGTCGGCGGGGGACACCCTGAACTGGTTGCAGCCAATCACAGGGCACACATAGATGAACAACCATTTGCGCTCACACTCACACCTAGGGACAATTAAGAGTATTCTATTAACCTGCCGGGCATGTTTATGGAATGTGGGAGGAAACCGGAGTACCCGGACAAAACCCACGCAGGCAGGGGGAGAACATGCAAACCCCACACAGGGAGGCCGCAGCCGAAATCGAACCCTGCGCCTCTGCACTGTGAGTCCGACGCACAAACTGGTCAACCACCAATCTTGATCTAATAAGCACTAAATTGTCACCACTGTGCTCTCGATGTTAAACGTAACGCTCTTTGTTCCATCTCTGATATTATGTTGGAAGCTTGCATAATCCTGGGGCGACTTCAACCTCGGTATATCGTACACGCAGGACAAAAACTGTAAAAATGCCAGTTGAAGACAGCCAGCGTGAAAGGGTTCTTTTGGATGCAAATCTGCTCAATGAACAAGCAGCCAACAGTGGTTTACGTCACCCACATGGTAGTGGCTCGACAAACTCGTAACTGGCTGTCCAGAAAATAGGTCCTGTTGTATCACAGCGATACCGAGCAAACTCCACACAGGGAGGCCGAAACCAAGATTCGAACCTCAAACCTCAGAACTGTGAGTCAGACAAGTCCAATGTGCTGCTTCTAAAATAAATGATGGATGCGAAATCAAATCCTTTTGTAGGAATCAGTCCAGATGACAGTGAGGTGGGAGCATCCAGGTCTTAGTCGAGTAATTAGAAGGTCGGCGTGAGTGCAATTAGGTGGACTGTGGGCGAAACAAAAGATCCTCGCCCACCCCCAACAAATCAGTGTAGACGCAATCTTACAAGATGGGCCTCATAATTGACTGCACCGCCGCCTCCGTTTCTAATTGTTTTTCATTCATTCCCTCGCTTTTGTTGAGCCCCCGCCAAACAGACATCGGCCGCCCCTCTCTCTCTATCTTTCGCCCCACTGGCGGTCGCGCTTGTTTGTCACAGCATGTTGTCATTGATTTCACTGATAGCTGATGGGTGCGCCACCGTGGCGGCAAAGCGTAGAGAAAATTAAAATCATTTCTCACGGCGCCGTCTGTGTAATATTCAGCCGCAATGTGTTTTTAATTGAAAATTTCTTGGAGCATTGCCTTCTGCCCACTGTTTTCTGAGTTCAAGCCATTACGTGGCACGCTGGACTGTTTTTTTTTTCGGGGGGGGAGGGTTGTCGATTGGCTAGGCAAAATCACATGTGGCGTCATAATAAGACATAATAATAAAAAGCATTGCTTGCTTTTTGAAAGCTAATACAAAAGAGGTGACATGGTTTTCAGCTCACTTTCCCTTATTAAAACGCGCTTTTCAAACACATTGGAAACATATTTCAGCAGCAAAAGAAAAAAAAATTGCAAACATAAAATGAAAATAGAAAATATTGTGAGAAGGCGGGGCATGGCTTGTAAATGTCGTACTTTGATTCAACACAAAAGATAATCAGTCTGCTTTCATGAAGGACGACAGAAATCAGATATGTTGATAAGACAAGATAAGATAAGATAAGATAAGAAAACCTTTATTAGTCTCGCAATGGAGAAATTCCCAATTCACAGCAGCAAAGTTATGAATGGAACAAGTATAAAGGATATCTAATCTAATCTAATCTAGAACAACAAAATATAGGAGCTGCTGGAAAGGCAGCCACTCACGCGGTGAGGCTGAAATCAGAAGATTTGGAAAATGTCATGGTCAACAATGGCCTTAAATGATTCCTCAATTATTAAAGCAGTTGTCGATTGCTAATGTGTTAGTTATCGATTAATCGATTCATTTTTGACACCTAGTTAGATATATTTTGCCATCAGTCCCTTCCCTGGCAGAATTCCCCGTCTCTGATAGGAGGACATTTGAATAGACGGCTCTCGTCGGACGATTCCAAGACTAAAACCCCTCGCGTCGCGGTAACCTTTTATAGTTGTCAGGTGTACCGCAGAGGAGATTACAAGAGGAAGAAGAAAAGGGCAGCGGGGGAGGACAGCTCGAGATGGAAGAAAAGAAGAGAGAATAGGAGAGAGGTTACCGCTACTGTGTCCTCTAAGGGGTTATACTGTAAGTGGGCGTATATAAACTTCACAGTAATCAATAACAGTAGCCTTGTCTTCTGTTTTTTTTGTTTTGTTTTGTTTAAAACAAGGGCCAATTTCTGTCTTCACGTCTTTCTTTCTTAACTCGCGTTTCTTTCCGCGATTTTGTTACGTTTCGTTTGCCCTCCGTCATAATTTGGAATTACCTTGTCATTGCTTGTCAGTCTGACCTCTAGCATACGCACACGTAAAAACTCAACGCGTTCTCGGAAGTTGCTCATATCCCGCTTCAGTGAAAGCCTTCAAGACTTTTGTCCTTTTCCAAGAAGAAGCAGGCGCCCAGCCACATCAATAGCCCTCAAACAAATTGGCGAGTTAAATTCAGGCGCAGAGAAAGGTTGAAATGTGCCGGGGTTTGGCATGAAGGGGTGAAGATAAATGGAATCAGGGGCAAGCCAGAGTGGCTTATTACCAGTGTTTCCGCAGATGGATGTTTCGGGTTTATCCGCCAGCTCAGAGAAGCCAATTGATTTGTCTGCCCCCATCCCTTTCTGACACTCATATTTTTCTCTTTTCTGGCGACTTTCATCGGCCATGACCCCCGTGTCATTTTTTTTTTTTTTTGCTCTTTGGGTCTTTTGGTGTGGATCATGTTTTGGTCTGCCGCTTGAACCCAGCTGCAACTCAAAGCAGTCAATCCCTATGGGCTGTATTCTCCCGCTTGCGCTTAAGCCCATTTTTTTTTTTTTTTTAAACGTACCTGGGCTTGCACACTTTTCTCTCAAAAGCTATATGCATTCTTCCATCCAGAAACACCTACCATGACCTGACAATAAATGCATAAACACTAAAGAGTTATGATTCATTTAATTCTGAGTCTTGCTGAAAATCACGGAACATGGAATTTTCTGAAGACTTGTGAATGTCAGTGAAATCCATGAGGAGAAATATAGCAGCACACTTAGAGCGGAAAGCATGTTTTTCTTTAAATTCTGTATGCCATAAATCCAATAAAAGTAGTTGAACCAAAATACTGTACTCGAATAGATCTACAAGGTCCGTTCATAAAAAGGGTGCTGACCTGCCACTCTGGTGATCAGGGGGCGATTCACTTTCATGCAGACATGTTGACAACCGGCATGGAAACAGTTTAAAACAATAATTGTAGATATATTAAACACCTCCCCTTCTAAAATAAGTCAGTTGCCCTTGATTGAACGTATGGGCATTACCCTGACCTGAATTATTGAGAATCTACACAGACATACAGAGAAAAAAATTACCTTGCAGGCAAGCGCATTGGTATTTTTCATTTAGACCGAGACAGAAAGTCCGATCAGCAGTTATGCTATTAGGCTAACGATATCAAACACTATTACTGCTTATTTAAGGAAGTCCTTTGCCAGGAGGCATAAAGCACAGGCGCAAACTCTTCCGTGCTGACTGCGCATTGAGTCTTTGTACGCACGAAGTAGTGAATTAATGAGGCGGGACAAGAGTGTCGAGGAGGCGCTTAAATGCACAGAGGAGAACTCACTCTTATGGGCCTCTAAAACTGCCTCACTGGCTGAACAACACAGTCACTTTTTCTAGTACATAGTATATAAATAAATGTAGAGAGAGATAGAGAAAGAGAGAGAGAGAGAGAGAGAGAGAGAGAGCCACCGAGCCATCGTCCTGCACTTGCTCCAATATCAATATGTATGACCAACGAGGGGGGAAAAAAAACAACATGCATTGTATTTTCACTCGTGGATGCAGCACTTCATCATCAGCAGTTGGCTATTAATACGCGCCAATACTTCTCATAAGCTAACACTGATAACACCGTTAGCTAACGCTCATCCGTGCTCACACTGCAGCTTTGCCTCGGTGTATGTATGCAGCAAAAATGAAATTGTTCAGATTATATGTCACACTGTATACCCTTTCATTTCAAACCATCCCGATCCCGCTTGACTTTTCTGTTACTTCAGCAACATCTGTCATCTGTGGAGGAAACTCCCTCTACTTAAACTAACTCATCAGGATTTGTTACAAGGCAAATATTTGCAAAAGTGCGATAAAAGGATAAAAGCAAAACCACACGACCGCTAAATAATTCAGTCAGGGCTTTTCAACAGCATAAATAAGCGGAATCAGCGGCCTCATTGACATTCCGGTTAAAGAAAATGTTCATTTATTCTTGAATAGTCGATTAAAAACTCAACAGCCATGTATTAGGAATCGCCAAATCGGCCTCTAAAAGTGAATTTACGAATGCAGATGCAAGCCGATCGGAAAGCTGTCTCAAACGAGTATGTTTATGATGTTATAAAGGTGTCTTATTATCTCCGCTGTCACAACACAACTTGATTATTGGTCCTCTGGAGGCCCGTCACAAGCTGTTGTGTTTTACTTTGCAGACGGAACCACCCAGATGTCCTATTAAGGCAGACTAATGACTGACTCTCCTGATCCTTACTGCTCCCGCATTCCCCTCCCGTCGTCGCTTGAAACGGAAAACATTTTTTTTTTCTGTTGTTCTGTTTTTATGGAGACTTTTTCATCTCACGCAGCTCTCAAAAAGATCTTTCGGGAGCACACAAACTGTGTTGAATTCAGTCACACAACAGATGCTGCATGCTGTTTCCCCCACTCGCACAACAGAGCATTTAATTA